TTAGAAGACATCTGAAGGCAGCCCTGTTTAGGGAAGTTTTTAATGTTTGATGTTTTATCATGCTTTTAATATTCTGTTGGGAGCTGCCCAGAGTGGCTGGGCGGCAGAGCTAGCTGCTCTGGTACCTGAAGCAGTGCCCGTGGTGTGCACCCAGGGGTTGGGGGCGGGGCGATCCATCCATGGGGTGGGGCGAGCATCCCCGGCGGTGCTGCAGCGAGCATCCCAGGGGGGAGGACACCCGGGGTGGACCGCACCCCCACACCCCCTTCCTAAGCCACTGTTGGGCGGAGTATAAATAATAAATTATTATAAATTATCATTATGTTGTAGGGTTGAGCCCTGCCATGGGCAAGGAGGGTGGGAATATGCCAGGACTTCACAGCATACGGAATGTCAAGCAACCGGATCCCAAATATCCTGCAAATTGTTATTCTCAGCAACCTTACTTACCTACTGTCGCCTGGAGCTGAATAAGAAATGAGAAGGGATGCTAACTTCCCATATTGCATCAAAATCCTGGCATTTCAGATGTGCCTTTCCACAGCTGCTGTCACACAGCAGGAAGAGGGAAGACTGTAACTTTCTGTAGTGCTTATGATAGATATGGAGACCCAATTAGATGCAGGCAGGTCCATCTGAAGTCTTGCAATGGGCTAGAATGCAAGGGCATGTTGGGAAGGAGGACAAGGAACTAGGAATATATAGAGATGATAAGAGTGAATAAATGCTCCAGCCTGTGTCAGCTTCCTTAAAGCGTCGAGACTCTGCGACAGTTATTTCGAAGGTTCCTAGCATACAGGGACACAGCACATTAGACACAAATCTCGCGGTTGCTTTTATTTCTCTCCCACTGCCCCTCAAACAATTCCTTCGGCTAATTCTGCAACATGGTGGCCGAATAGCGAATTCTTCCCCCTAAATGATTCTATTCCCTACATAACCAACCTCATTTCTGTACTTGCTATTGTTCTTGTTCAACGGGAGGGAGACACCGCTATTCCGTAATGAGACCATTCAGCAAACACAGTAGCCTCTTTCTGTCGTAGCTGGTTGCATGCCAGCCATCCATCACCAGTCACGAGTTTCCATTGTGCACTCTCCGTTGCGGCGTTGTGGGAATAGAAGAGCAAAACAGTTTGGGGGCTAATGTGATACAATATTCATGGCTGTGTACCGAACAAGCAGCATTCTGGTTTATCACTTGGCTATAAAATGTCCGGCATTCAATTCTTCCACATGCATTCATTCCGCTTGAAAAGGTGCACTCTGTAACATCACTCCAGAAAGGTGTGGAGTCTAAGAGCAGAGCAAGCCCTCTGCCACACAGCTGGGCAAGAGACTCCAAAGGGGGAAAGAAAATACAAGCTAGTCTGTGCTCCAGCACCCCAGAAGCATTGGTTTGTGCTCAGAATGGTTGAAGATACAATTGTTTAATAATAATAATAATAATAATAATAATAATAATAATAATATATTAATACTCCACCCATCTGGCTGGGTTTACCAACCAAAACAATACAGCGTCAGACATTAAAAACTTCCCTAAACCTTCAGGGCCGCCTTCAGTTGTCTTTTAAAAGTAAAATAGTTGTTTATTGCCTTGACATCTGCTGGCAGGGCGTTCCACAGGGCAGGCGCCACTACCGAGAAGGCCCTCTGCCTGGTTCCCTGTAACCTCACTTCTAGCAGCGAGGAAACCATCAGAAGACCCTCAGCTCTGGACCTCAGTGTCCGGGCTGGATGATGGGGGTGGAGATGCTCCTTCAGGTATACAGGACCGAGTAGTAAGTACTACTGTGCTTACGCAAACCTAATGCACCATCAAGTCTAATGCGCACCTCAATTTTCAAAACCTTGAAACCCAAAAAAGTATTTGCTATGTCAGCGGTGTTTTTCAAGCTTGCAATCGAATCGAACGCACCATCGAATCTAATTTTCGCGACATAATTTGGCCAAAAAAGGTGTCCATTACATCTGAGTAAATACGGTACATATGTGAGTTGAAAAACAGCAAGGCAGTTACCGATGTGTAAATGAGCAACATCCAGTAACCACTTACATTTAGAATTCCACTGTCCGGAAGCTATCATAGCATGTTGGTATTTTTAAAGAAATGGCACCAAGTATTTTGCCTGGTTGATATATTACAAATCAGCATGCTATTGCAGATGGAGTGAGGGAACTATCCTTACCAAGGGCAGCTCTGCACATTACCCATTTCTGCTGGAAACACTATTGTTTCTTCATTAGAAATGCAAAATGAGGGCTTTACAATTGACGGACAACATCCTTTTACATTGGTATCTGGGGACACACGCCCAATCAGAAATCTTAATGTATAGAGTGAGCCTAATGTTTCATGAATCAAACAGTAATGAAAAATACCCATGGCATGCACTTTGATAGTGTAAAAGGTAAAAAGGTAAAGGAGCCCTGGACGGTTAAGTCCAGTCAAAGGCAACTATGGGGTGTGGCGCTCATCTCGCTTTCAGGCTGAGGGAGCCGGCGTTTGTCCACAGACTAGTCACTCAAAGGCAGTCAAATGTTGTAGTGGAATAATACTGTATCCCCATTAAGGAAAGAGAAGAAAAGTCCCACCCATTTGCCTCTATCACAACAGAGCTCTCTGTTTAAGATGCTGATGATGGATACTTAGCTGAACAGCTAAGCAAAGGAACTGGTTTGATTGGTTCAGCGGGTTTCCTCTTATAGTTTCTAACCAGAGGCAGATTTAAGGGCGCATAACTGGTTCAGTCACACTGTTGCACGAGCCCGAGGGATGTCACAACGATGTTGTAGAATGGAAGGTGAGAGGTGGAGGAATTTTGGTGTTGCACAGGGCGCCTCATAAGTTTGAGACCCCCAAGGTGGGCTACTGTTCTAACTTCACAGGTGCAGGACCACAGGCAAGGAAAAGACCCACGGGTATCATCTAGAGCAGGGGTTGTCAACCTGGTCCCTACCACCCACTAGTGGGCGTTTCAGGATTCTAGGTGGGCGGTAGGGGGTTCTATGGCACAAGCTGAACCTTCCTTTCATCGAGCACTGGTGGGCGGTAAGGAAATTTTACCAACAAGAAAGATGCATTAGTGGGTGGTAGGTATAAAACGGTTGACCACCCCTGATCTAGAGTGACCCCGCAAATCTATAGCAATACAAACTACTGGCTGGGTTTCCCTAGTCACTCAAAGGCAGTGAAATGTGGTAGCAGAATAATACTGTATCACCATCAGGGAAAGGGAAGAAATTCAATTTGGTTCCGATTTAAAGGTGACTTTCACTTTCCAAAACAATACATGGACCAAAACATAGTTAACCTTTGAAACCTGCACTTCTCTGAATTTGGCAATGCAGTTAGTTCACCAGCCAAATAATGTGGACAAATACAAATGCAATAAGGGAAAAATATAAATATTGGGGAGGGGGATATGCACCAGACATGTTTAATGGGGGGCAGGGATGTTCAGAATACAATTCAAGGTATATTCTGAACCCTCTATGAATCTACTTCAAAACATTCTTATCACTCAGAACATGGTGAGTAAATATGGATCTCGAGAGTGTGTTCGATCAAGCACTGAACAAGATGGCAGGTAGCTGGCTGAAGTCAAGCTAGATATTTCTGGAGCAAACAGCCATCATCCCCACGATTAGTGCTCAGTGATTTTACACATCATAAAATTGGTCCTGCAGAAAACGTCCAGATGGACTGATTCCATTTGACCTTCTTAAATGATCATAGTTTCTTTTAAAGGCAAAGTGTGCATTTAGTCTAGCTGGCAGCACTCACTGGCATCAGGTGCAATTTGGCCAGTGTAGTATATATTTTACTATAATAGGTGTATGTCAATTTAACCTGGTCTTTTGCTTTCAGACATGCTTGCCAACCTGTTATCTGCTTGCGGCTGGCAGTAATTGGAAGTACACACTGACCTAGTTAGAGCTAGCTGGCATTAAAATTGTACCTGTGGATTGGCTGCAAGGCATCCTTCTATTCCCAGTGCCTCAGGGCCTCAGAGGTTTGTGTAAGGTAGAGAACAGATATTGCGAAATGGATGAGTCATTATCATGAGGGTGGCGAACTTGTGGCCCTTCCGATGTTTTATTTTCATTTCTTTATTAAAAAACAACAACTTGTCTACCACAGTTTTCATAGAAAATAGCAAAGTGGTTCCCAACAATTATACAAATACAATAAAAAAAACCAAAGAATTTTTTTATATTAAAAAAAATCAGAACTAGTACAGATGTCTTCTTGATTTTCTGCATAAGCCTGGTAGCATAGAAACACTTTCAGCAAATGTTCAGAGGTTAAAATAGAAGTCTGGAATCTCCATTGGAAGAGCACTCCAGAAGACCAATGGCGCTAATGGACCAATGGCGCTAAAGGCTTAGAATCACAGAATTGTAAAGTTGGAAGGGATCCCAAGGGCAGAGGCGGAGGAAGGGGGTACGGTGGGGGTGGACTGCCCCGGGTGTCACCACTAAGGCGGGGTGACAAAATGCCGGGTGGCACTCACCACGGGGCCTGCAGCGCGCCCGAGCCACACATATCTCATGGGAGTGACGCAGTGGCTTGGGCGTCCGCAGGCTCCATACTGCCCCAAGCTGTCCGCCCACTGCCTCCCCCTCGGCTGTAGGACAGCTGAGTGGGAGGAGGCAGACAGACTCCTCAGAGGCCCCATGCAGTGTCCTGCCCGAGCTCGCCCCGCCCCACGGGCGGCTGGCCCCACCCCTGGGCATGGCCGTCTTAAGCATATGTGGTACTGGGGTGCAAAGATCTGCCCAGCGCCCCTAGATTGCCCAGAGTTGTCAGCCTTTTTAGGGGGGGACCCCAAAGTTGTTGACCTTTTTTTAAGGAAATAGTTGTTTACCTTTAGAATGGTTACAGGATGCAGGGAATCACAGCGCCAATCAACGGGGGTGCCAGCGCCCACACACAGGGGCATACGAAGGTGGGTGCAGGTTCCATGCTGGGGAGGGACAAAATGTTGGGTGGCACAGGGTGCCAGTGCAGAATGATGGGTAATGCAAGCAGCAGCGAAGGAAACATCTCCAGACGGGATCTGCACGCTCCTATTCGTCAGGATTTGTTGCTGCCATTGGCGTACAGCGGATCCCATCCAGAGTTGTTTCCTCCGCTGCCGCTTGCATTCCCCATCATTCTGCACTGGCACCCCACACTGGGCGGCACTGGGAGCGTTCACCAAGAGTGGAAAAACCAGCAAAGGAACCCGCAGCTCAGCACATGCAACAGGATGCATTGCGCAGCACCTACAACATTACATGGTGCTCCGGGCGTGGTTCCAAAACAGCCACCATGCATGAAATATACTCAGAGTCGCAAAGTGATTTCATGCTCTTTATTCAGCTCATAGTGGTGAGGAGGAATGAATGAATGTCCCCTCAAAGTATCTGCTTTATATACATTATTTACACAATGGGCTGCACATGATTGGTTAATTCTGGAATTCTACTGTAAGCCAATCAGGTTGTGGATTCACTTATATCTGGAGCATGATTGGGTGGTTCCTGCCAACCAATCATACTGCTGCATTGTTCTTGGACCAATCAGACTGCTGCATTCTGAATCCTATTGTTCTAGGACCAATCAGACTGCTGCAATTTGGATCCTATTGTTCTAGGACCAATCAGACTGCTGCAGTTTGGATCCTATTCAGCTCAGTACATAACAATGCAGCTGGGGTAAGAACCGACAGTCAAGTGGAGCAGAGCCCATCGGAGTGCTGCGGCAATTCCCCAGACTCCAACACTCCCCCCGAACTCGCGCCGAGCTGCCCACAGCGCTCTGACGGGCACTGCTCCGCTCGGCTGTCAGCGGCTCTTCCCCGGACTCCAACGCTCAGCCCCAGACTCTTGGCCTGGCGCCCCTGAGAGCCCGGCGCCCGGGTGCCGTGCACCCCTAGCGCCAACAGGGCGCGCGCGCCACCCCAGGCACCCAATCAGCTTGGTCCGCCACTGACAAGGATCTTTTAATCCAACCCCCTGCAATGTAAGAGTTTTAAAGCATTGTTGACAGATGGCCACCCAACCTTGAAACTTCTTGAAGATCAGACTTCACATACCTTTCCAAAGAGAAACGTGGACACTAAGGAGCTAAATGGCATGAGTCGGCTTTTCTGGCATATTGCTGGGCTTCAGTACCACCTGAGCCATCAGCAAGGCTGGCGGTACATATGCAGCAGTAGAGCATATGGGGATAGCAGATGTTCTTCCTTGAACTGCAGCTGCGGAAACCACGGAGGTTGACAAGCAGCACGTCAGGTTTCAAAAGCCACAGCTGCATTTTAGCAGAGAAGGGGGCGCGTTCCTGTATTTAGATGTTTATGAGAGAGATAGAGAAAGAAAGAAAGAGAATGGGTGAAGGAATGAATAAACAAATAACATAGAAAACATGGGAAAAGAAAAGCTTGTATAACCCTCATTTCTAAACAAACTAATGAGGTTTGGATCTTGTCTATAACAAAAGAAGCACTGATCCTGAGTCTAGAATGCAGTGTTTCTCTTCTGTGCTGGGGGGGTAGGGAGTGGGGGAATCAAACAACTCTGCAATGTTAAAAAGGCAACAAGATATCTGGGATTTTTTTGGGGGGAGGGAGGCGCTTCCTTTTTAATCCATAACAAAAAAATGTGAACTAGGAAGGCTGGATAGTAAACTTACTAGCTCTGTCGAGTGACTGGCACTCTTGTTCTAAATATGTACACAGCCAGATCTGTCTGGCATGGCAGCATAATGTAATGTTTAGAGATGTGCTGAAGCAGCAGACAGGTGGTTGAAATGTTTATCTACTAGGATAGCACATCTGAAAATTAAGGTTGCCAATATTTTTATTTTTATTTTTTATTGCCTGTCTTTAATTCCACCAGCTATTTTCCAAAGGCAGACCTATTCCCAAGAAGAGCCCAGAGGAATCTGCGTATTGCTTTTGCCTTCTTCTTTGTCTCACAGCATTTCAGTGGCCTGTCCCCTGAAGTCCTGACATCAACATCTTCATTTATGGGGACTTGGAGCGGGAGGAGTGTTTAGCCACCCTCTTCTCCCCAGATGTTCAGGCGTGACAGCCATGCTGATCTCAAAGCATGGGAGAGGCTGGCTGTGGTGTGGCCCATTGCGACACGCTTGCTGAGGCAAATTAAACAGACTTAGCTTTGTTACAGACATTTGTAGTATGAATTATCCGTAGGCATGACCTATGCAGCAGTTATTCAAATTACTCAAACATGAAATGTAATATCCCAGCTGGAGTTTTGTTTCTGTCTGAAGAAACCATTTGTTCGAAGACGTGGAAGGTGTTTATTTTCTTTAGGAGGAATACACACACACACACACACACACACACACACACATATTTCTGCTCTAGACATTTTGTATTATGTTCAAATTAACCAGACAACATGACCTAGCATGTCAGTAATTTGGGAGAAAATAAAATCTGCTCAATTGGACACCCGGTAGCAATTCAGAACGTACGGATCTCATCCAGATTTATTGCCATTGCCGTGTAAAAGAGCTGATGACTGAGCACAGTCAGGATACACCTAGGGCAGCGTTTTAATATGTGCCTGGGCAATTTAATTTGCCACTGCTTAAGAAAATACCGGTCTACAGGCAGAGATGTATTTGCACAAAGAAATACATGGGCATTTTAAAAGCAATTAATTAAGTATGCAATTTATATGAAAACAATTTACCCTTGGACATTATCTCAGCACCCAAAATGCACACACAATTTTCCACGCCTTCCAATTTGTGGCCATAATTTATTTTGATTGTGCAATTAGAGAAGAAGTGTCTTATTAATTTCAATCTCCTAAAGAGAAGCAGGACGAATTCAGCCGCCAAGATGTCAAGCCGGTAGGAAAACAGAAGAGTGGATCTTTCTGCATTGGAGGGGAAAAAAGCAACAGACAATGCTTACCTCAGGCTAACCATAAAAAATAAAGATTGTGAGCTAATCTAGCTAGCACTAAACCAGGATATGCTGCTCAGAGCCTTCCTTAGTAGAGGAAAATACACAAAGTGACAAACACCTTGGAGACTCAACAATGACACTTTGGGTTTCCTCTGGAAATTCCTCAGGTGTTTTGCCTGAGGAGAATCTTCCGCATTTGCTCCCTAATCTACTGAAGAAATATTCTCAGAATTCCCCATATACTTTCCTTATGGGGAAGAAAACTCTTAACATTCACTTCAAATTTTGTTTTAAGCAAAATTTGGCGGTAATTCTGGAGGGCATGGCACCCGGTCCTATGAAAGCTGCTGTAGATGGTGTCAAATTGGTGTTTCCTGCCTTCTAGCACAGCCCACGTTTCAAGGCTTTGGGGATACCGTGTGCTTTGGATGTGCTTTCATGGTGTGGTTCTGCCCAGAGTTTCTGGGAATAGCTTGCTGTGTGGAAGCCATTTTGCCCATATGGCCCATTCCTGAGAACTGGAAAGAAGGGTCCCTGGTTGCATGGAGCCTTTTACATGCGGTCAAGTGAATGTGGTTAAAAGCCCACTTCAGAGCTTCCTCACTCAACATGGGGAGATCAGAAGCCTTGGGAGCAGAGCCATTATCTGCGATCTCATGCCTTCTGCATGGGAGATTTCCTATGCAGGGGTAAGAAGAGCTGCTTTTTAATGTAACGTTAAAGCAGATTATTTCCTTTCAAGGGAAGATCTAATAGTGTTGCAACCCCAGTAATGTAGTGGCAGTTCAATTGATTTCTGCTGACCCCCTTATTTAAAGCTAATAGTCGAGAGCCCAGCCCCTATATATTATTGTTGTATATTACTCTATAGCAAGCATTCTATACTGTGCTTCAGGTTTCTCTCTGTGCATAAAGGGAAGCTGATTTCCATCCAGGTGCTGACCACCATTTTAATTTCTATCCAATAGTTCAAAAAAATTAGCATAGTGGTTTTGATAATTGAATTGAATGACATTGGAAATGGTAACTCAACATTCGAGTGTCATTTATTAAGAAGAAAAAAGAAAGGTCTCTTTCACAGTTTTGCTATGGCTAAATGAATTTTTTTTTTCCAATTGTTGGGGGCCTTTTGAAATGAATGGCCTCTTAGAGGGGAGAAATCACATACTAAGAATAAAATTGCTCGCCTTGAGGCCACCGCATTTTGAATCAAAACACATTCCGGAGATAATGCAAAAGAGAAAATGTAATCTGGTAAGTGCCTGAGATGGAGAATCTTCTGACAAAAATGCAGGATTCCAATAGGCAAAACTGGGTGTGTTCTCTGATTCTGCAGAGCCGTGACAAAAGCCATCATTTGTATCAGGCACAACATTGAGGAGTCTGAGAATTCCAGCCTTTATGTTTGAATGAAAGATGTGTTTCCATAAACCACAAGACTGCACAGATAGGCATGATAGGGGTGTGAGCAGTATCTTCTGAAATCTAAAGGCCAAAGCAGACACGAAAACAGGAGGTCCACAAATGGAACTATCAACCTTTGTTGTTTAAGTGTTAATAGCAGTTTGGACTGGCATCATGGTGCTGGGACAACAATTAACCTTTCCCCTTAACTATTTCCCCCAATTAAAATCACAACCCCCCAAGTTGATGTTTGTTCTGCAAAATTAACTTCGCCTCCCTCAGCACTGCATAGGAACTCTTACATATTCGGACCTTCAGCCTATCTAGGCCACTGTTGTCCACACAGACCGGCAGCAGCATTTTCCCAGGATTTGAAACAGGTGCTTCCTCTCAGCCCCACCTGGAGATGCTGGCGGTCGAACCTGACACTTCCTGCATGGAAAACGGGTGCTCTACCACTGACCTTGTGGGATGTAATCCATTGGGAGCAGTCAAGTACAACATTCCTTGTTTTCCTAGAGTGGACATGCAAGGGAATGTTTGGTCCAGCCAGTCGAAACTTCCTGCTCCTCGTGGCCTGGAGCATCCTTCCTTGCATGTGACTAGTGGGTGGGCGTGACCTTTCCAGACCTGGTAAAAGGACAAGGCACGCTGCCACTCTCCCTCTTTCTTCCATCTTCCTTTCGTCCTGTGAACTTCCCGGACTGCTAACTGCAGTCACTAGGTCTGTCCACATGTGGGGTAAACCTGTTTGTAAATGCTTATACAGTGGTACCTCTGGTTAAGAACTTAATTCTGTTGAAATATACATTTTTTAAAAAACCAGAAGCATTTTTACTTGGT